TTAAACAAAATTCTTTCATTAAGAATGCTAGATGGCAACTACATCGAAACCCTGGAACCAGGAACATTCAATGGCTTGTCAAATCTATATTATTTGTATGTATGTATATATACTATTGGACATTTTGTAATGTTCAAAGTACCTAGATATTATTAGTAGGGAGGACGTAACGTAGAAATGACGTCACTGCAAAACTGAAGTGTCATGACCAGCTAAAAATAAAATATCATTGCAATGTTATTTTTTTATTTGGTGGAAATCCATAATTTCAAGAGGAAAAGTCAAACTTCAGTTTTACAAATTTTCTCGATTCTGATTGGCTAACAATTTTTCTCAGATAAGGTGCCAATATATGATSGAATATTTTGTATATATGAGACATTTTAAAAAAGATTTTGGCTGCCAAGATTTTTTTTTTACTAATATCGAGGTGCTTTTCTTTCTTTTCTTGTGTTTATTTTGACACAACTGAGTCGCTTGAAGGAGGATAAGGTCACGTGACTTTTGTCTATTGCATGGTGTCACTTGACGTCATTTCCTGTCTCGTGCAGAATGTGTGCATCAACTGAATCACTAGTCTCCCCCTCAGCCGCTTTCAGTGTCGTCACGCAACGCTTTCTCCCCTGAGAAGCGGCTGCTTACTTGAGCACAACGTTCCTTTCCTATTGTTTGTGTTCAACCAATCAGATAAGTCTCATTGTGTTTCAAGAACCAATCAAAACGTTTCGAATTTGACAAACTTGTGTGTTTGACCTCCATTTGAAGCAAATAATGAGACTCAAAACTTTTATCTGGAACCCAGCAATTGAAAATAACGGGGCAACAGATCGACGGAAAGGAAAAAGAAAAGAAAACAAGAAAAACATTCCAACTTGAAAAGGAAACCTTATTATACACTTATTTCAAYAAAGTCAGTCACCTGAAAAGCTACAAAGCTGAGACCAACAAGGATTATGGGTAGATACATTTTACATGTTTCAAGCGCTTGATAACTGTTGATGGACTTGAGATCTTCTACCAGTTACAAGTTCACCTCGTCTGAGCATCCTCAACTGCTGCAGTTTGAGTCAAAAGCTTTACTTGTTGAATATGAAATATTTTCCATGATTCTCAGCGATCACAGCTTTCTAGGTTTTTGGTGACTAACTTTATTGAAATAAGTGTATATATTCTCATAAAGCACTCTTCTCSACTAATCATAATAATATGACCATTATACTTTTTTCCAGGTCTATCGCAAATAATATGATAACTGGATTACCAGGAAGTATCTTCAACGGCTCCAAAAATGTTGAATACATGTAAGTATTATCAATAAAAGCAAGACGTAGACCAAACCAACTGAATTAGCAATTCTATCGGTTATTGACACAACATCTGGGCTGATCTAAGTTAGGGCACGGCGTAAGAGTACATTATGCTAGTGCAGTTTTCGTATGACTGTGAAAAGCTAGGTGCCGTACCGTGACCGTGATGTTTGCTAGAATTTTAATTGGCTGATTTTTTTTTCGAGCAATGTGATTGGTCTGGCGTATCCCTAGCCGTGTCAAGAACGTGTTYGTGCCGTGAGCTTTTCACAGTCATGCGAAAACTGCTCTAATACTGCTATACCACACTTAATTGCCTCATTCATTAGTACTAATWACTTAATTGCTATTGATTTAATCATTTTATAGATTCATTCAAAAYAACAAACTGCATGCCATTGAGCAGGGAACATTTGAAGAAATGGGGAAGCTGAGAGAACTGTAAGTAGCTTTTTGTTTTACCCAATGACTAAGTCTCTGTAAT